AATGATTTATATAATATTGACCTGTTCAGAACCAAAAACACATTTTTCCCTAAGCAGTTTGCAACGTACAGAGGACACGACCAGTTGTTGTGAAAGGAGATCATCCTCCCCTATACTCATGTGCACTGGAAGAGACAGAGCCCTGGCCAGCAATATCACCATCCAAGCTTTGAACAGTTTGTGTGTCTTCATGAAGAGATTTATTTGATTCTGGCTCGGTTACAGTAACATTTGACTCTGGCTTTGTTACTGTAACATTGTCTGGAATGAGATACAGACAAGCCAAAATATGCATCATCTCCATAATGATTGGAGATCATCTTTGATCTCATGTTAGAATCATCAGCAGAAACATAAGTATTATTTTCAGAGAAATTGATAGGCCTACTTCATTGATAAACATATAAACCTAACTTGTGTTCCTACCATGAAATACACCGTGTGCGGAAATTCTGTTCGAACTAAGCCCGGGGTGTCACGTAAAATATTGAAGCTGTCATAAGTGCGAAACAAAAATAAATTCATGACACAAAGATAGCAGTATGAAGCACATATAGAAACAACAATTATAAATTATAACCACTTGTATACAATGTCTTTGCTTTGCAAATGCATATACCAGGTCAAATTTGATAGAAGGAAATGAAGAACATCAACGTCGCCATATTTGAACATTCTCGTTCCCCAGAACTTGTGTTGTCCCCGTTTACCTATTCAAAAAGTCAAATCACAATTCGCATTTACAGGTTTCTGAATAAAGGCAAAGTCAGCGTAGAAAAGATCAATACAGCTACCTGCGAAAAGATCAATACAACTACCAAACTTATGTGCATTTACTGCTTTGGAAAGGTCAAGACAAGAAGAATATTTTGAATGCATTATTTCAGAACTTATCCCAAGAGATTCAGCTACCTGCGAAAAGAAGATTAGAACCATAATCATTGTTAAGTGAGCATAAACATCAGGAGTGTTTCAAATGTTCATATATATCGGAACCCAAAACAATTCTAAAGGTGAAGTATAATTTAAGACCATTCAATATGTATACCATAGACAAGATGTACACAACTGGGATTGGGCCATTATTCAACTAAAAAGAAGAAAATTATCAGAGTACATATACATGCCTGGTCAACATATGAAACACTTCGCTGGAAAACCATGTGCTGATTTGAGCTAGGAATTGCAAGCACTTCAACTCGTTCGCCTCTACCAAGATCCCTAAAGTAGTCCCTATATCTTGAAATATCAGCAGTAGCAGACATCAAAACCACCCTGCAAACTCATAATATATTATCATGGTATCGCTGTAATTAAACAAACAATTGCATGTCACTTCTGATCTTTAAATATATAAATTACTTTCTTACAAATATGCACATATAACTCTATTTAATTCACTCTTCCAAATATCCTTTCAACATTAACAAAACCAAGATGCTAACCTTAAGTCATTGTTCTTTAACAAAAACTGCTTTACACAAACTAGTACAAGATCAGACTCCACTGATCTTTCATGTACTTCGTCAAGAACAATAACCTTGTAGTTCAGTACAGCCACCTGCGAAAAGATCAATACAGCTACCAAACTTATGTGCATTTACTACTTTGGAAAGGTCAAGACAAGAAGAATATTTTGAATGCATTATTTCAGAACTTATCCCAAGAGATTCAGCTACCTGCGAAAAGAAGATTAGAACCATAATCACTGTTAAGTGAGCATAGTGGGGTTTCTATGTGGGTCTGTTGGTTAGGAACATAGTCCCTTCAATCTGAATTATAATGAGGACAATTGATTCATAGATATGGAACAAAATTACGGCAGGTCACTCGGTTAGGAATGAGTCCCTTCAATCTAAATGGTGTAGTAAGATTTGGTTAGAGCCTTTTATAGTAGGTCACTTCCCAGCTTATATATAAGCTGATTGTTGTAAGTTGTAACAGAATTGTACAATGAAAAACAAGAAACAGAATTTGAGATCTAGAATCTCTCTCTGCAATTTTAAAGTTCTAATATAAGGAAATCAATAAGGGAGAATGATAAATAGTAAACAGTCTCAGTCTTTCTATTTATTCCAAATAGTGAACAACAAGACATATTTGCACCACTAATTAGGGTGGAAAATCCTGGTTTACTATTCTATTTACTTGTGAGCCTATATCAATAGCCTCTCAATAAGAATAAATTAAGTGCAGAAACATTAAGCTATATACCATGAGCCTTGGCAACATTGTTGATAAGTTTCATGATAAGCACAGTTTTTCCTACACCAGCACCACCAAACAACCCGATCTTTCCTCCTCTTTGGTATGGTGCAAGCAGATCAACAACCTATATGAAGAAATTTATGCAAATTTGTGTAATTGAACATTTAAGGATATGAGGTTGATGCATTCACCACAAATAAAATAAATTAAAAAAAACAAAAACAAAAACAAAAAGGAAGTCGCTAGCAAACGAAAAATACCTTGATACCAGTAACAAGGATCTGCTGTTCAGTTGCTTGCTCAATAAAAGCAGGAGCCTCTCTATGAATGAGCAAATAATGCTCGGTTTCTAATATAATTCACAAAAGCTTATCATCAGTTGAAAATTTTCCAAAGAAACTACGCCATAGAAAACTTCGGACTTGTGAAAGATTTAGAGGTTGCTTACTGAATTCGCCTTTGTGGTCGATAGGTTCTCCGATAACATTCATGATGCGTCCAAGGGTGGCCCTGCCAACGGGAATCTAAACAGAAAACAAGAATAAAGTAAATGTTAGTGACAAATAATTACACTTCTTCAATCTCTGAAATAGCAATAAATAGAAGCAAGTGATTGGGAATTTACACTGATGGGAGAGCCGGTATTGAGCACACGCCATCCTCTAACAACACCTTCAGTAGCCTCCATAGCAATAGTTCTAACAACGCCCTGACCTAAACATTGAGCAACCTACAACACAATCCGTTGCGAGCCTTCAAGAACCTCAAGCGCGGTAAGGATCGGAGGCACTCCATCTTCGAATCTCACATCCACTACAGCACCAATGATTGTACAAATATGTCCAATGGCACCTTTCTCTGTATGTTCATCAGTAATCTTTCCATCACCGCCGCTAACTTTTCTAACTGGAGGAGGAGCGGGAGATGCAGCGGCAACCGCGGTGGCGTATTCCGTTACACGGTTGAGAAAGTAAGGGAAAGGGGACGGAGAAGGACATGATTGAGAAGAGAGTTTGAAATGTTAATATATATATATATATATATATATATATATATATATATATATATATATATATATATATATATATATATATATATATATATATATATATATATATATATATATATATATATATATATATATATATATATATATATATATATATATATATATATATATATATATATATATATATATATATATATATATATATATATATATATATATATATATATATATATATATATATATTAGAAAATATTTATATAATACTATTTATATAATAGGCCCGTTGCAAAAAATTAATTTTAATAAAAAATACTATTTATATAATATAATAGAAAATATTTTATTATTATTTTAGACAAAAATATTAAGCTATGTTATAATAAAAATTATAATAGTTATATTAATAATTTATTAAATTAATTAATAAAATTGAAAAGGTTAGAAAATAAAAATGAAAAAAAATGGAAAATTAAAGGAATAAAAAAAATAATGATTATGATTGGTTAAAGTAATTGCGACAGTTCGTCTTAACTGTCGCGAGTGTGGAAAGAGGACGGTTCTTTGGTTACTGTCGCATTATTGTATACAACATGCCTAAAAAAATTGTGACGGTTGCTTCAAACCGTCGTGAGAATTGTCATAGTCTAGGAATAAGGACAGTTTTTTGATAACTGTCGCAAAAAATCTACGACAGTTGACCCTAACTGTCGTGACAACCGTCGGAATCCAAGAATAAGGACGGTTTTGTAATAACTGTCGCAACTCAAGTGTCGTAAATCTCCTTTTTTCTTGTAGTGGTTGTTTGGTCTGAGAAAAAAAAGGGAACATTTTTAACCTACTAATTTTCCAAAACTATAGATTCTTTGATATTTATTGGTTTTGAAAGTTCACACTTGTTCAATAATTTATCTGATCCATCAATCAAATAAGAACGACGAACGTTTCAATTCTCAGTTTGATCAATTCGACTAACTGGTTCAGTCTGATTTTTAAAACAATATTTTTTAAGCATAATTATCCCGTGTTTTAAAAACCAAACAAACTAGTTGGTCGAACCGAAAATAAGAGGGGTCGTTGGTATGGTTTGATTGCTAGATTGGTAAGTTATTGAACTAATGGGAATCAGGCAAAACCTGTAAAAATCAGTGAACCAAAAGTTTTAAAAAACCAACAAGTTAAATGCTTATTTATTTTTTCTCCGACAAAACAATATTGTTTTGATAATTTTTTTTTAAAAAATAAAATAAAATATAAATTGTCTTTATTCATAACTTATTTGTAATAACCATTCATCCTTAGAATTAAATTTCCCTCACATTGCATTTAATTTATTTTGTTATTCATTTTATATTACAATTAGACTTTTTCAAATGTTATTTGTATTTGTTATTTGAACTATTTTATTGTGTGTGATTACTATGATTACAATTTTAATTTAATGAATAAACTTATAAAATTAGGATATTTTGAAATTTCTTTTAAGTGTAGAATTTTTTTTTAAAAGTTCGACCGATAAATCAGTATTTAATTAACTCATTCATTTAATAATTAATTCAATTTTTAAAACATTGTTTACAACAGTAAAAAATTAATTTTTAAATACCTTGAATAATATGTATAATATATTTTAAATAATATAATAAAAAATTTATGGGAAGTATCTTGGAACTCTTGAACCTCTTTCATCGACTCAAGTCATATCTTTGAATTAGGTCATTACTTATACCCAATTTCCCCCAAATTTTGTATATCTCATTCTGAGAATTCTTCGATTGTGTTTGGCATGGAATCAATAGTGTTGCAGAAAATGGAGAAAAGAAAGACGAGTTGTAAAAAGGTGAGTAATCATATACCTGCCGATCTTGCAGTATCCATTCTTTCAAAACTTGCTCTAAAATCTTTGTTTCGATTTAGATGCGTAAGAAAATCATGGTCTTTCTTGTTCCAAGAACCCTATTTTATGAATATGTACCGCATCAATTTTGCATCTAATCACAATTATACCTATGTCGATGATTCATGTATAATGTTAGAAACACTTCAGCCATATCAGCGCGGCCACCAGGTCTTGTTTTCTCTTTCTGGCGACAGATTAAAAAATAAAGTAAAATTAGATTTGCCGCCTCCATTTGAAGAGGATGACACTTGTATTGAAATGTTGGGTTCTGTTGTCGATGGAACTATTTGTTTCTACCAAGGTCCGGTAATTCCAAAAATTGTACTTTGGAACCTATCTACCAAGGAATTCAAGGTTCTTCCTCCTAGTCCTCTCGAGTCTGTACCGCCTGATTATGATAGAGTCTATTGTCAAATGCATGGATTTGGTTATGATCATGTTAACCATGATCATAAAGTGGTTCGACATGTAGCACAACGTGTAGACTTTGCCAACTACGAAGGTTATAAAGGTCATATTCCGCCACATGACTCTATGTGGGAGGTTTACAGTCTTAGAAGTAACGCTTGGAAGAAAGTTGAAGTAGATATGCCTACTGGTTATATGAATACCGGTCTACGATTTCACACTAATGGAGTGTGTCATTGGTGGGATTATACTAACGATCAAGATTGTTTGGTATCATTTGACTTAATCAACAACAAGTTCTTTAGAACACCTCCTCCACCAGACGGGCGTGATAATTTTGATTTTATATTGGTGGATAGACGCTTTGTAGGGCTAAATGGATCGGCTGCTTGTATCTTAAGTTATGAAACTAGTGGTGATACACCATGTATGTTTTACATATCAATTTTAGGGGAGCTAGGTGTGAAAGAATCGTGGACTAAACTTTTTACTATTGAGTCTTTACCTTGTCTTAACCATTCTATTGGAGCAGGCAATAAAGGGGACATATTCTTTAAATCAAAAGAAGATGAATTAGTTCAAGTTGACTTGATTACTCAAATGGTGAAGAAGCTTGGTATTAGAGACCCACTCCAATTTCCGACACTTTTTTATAAGGAAGTCATTCTTCCAATGGGAGGAGAAAAATATGTTAGTTGAATTTTATCTTGTACAAAGGTTGCTTGTCAATTTTGCAAATTTATAGAATAATGGATATATAGCATGATATATTTTATGGTTTATTTTATGGTTTATTATTTTTATGTTTGCAAATTGATATGTAGCATTAAGCATTTTTATCAAAGAAAATTGTATACAATATTGGCAAAGGCTAAATCTGAGATACATATATTTCTCTTGAACAATTATGTTTTTACATTGAAATAACTAGATGTGTGTTATAGGGAATCAATGTATTTTAGGTTCATGAAGAAAGTGTTTGTGACACCTTTCTTATGTGTGGTTCTGCTCTAGATACTGTGCCTCTTAAAGAATGTGTGCCATGCTTGGAAATGGCTAAAGTGAAAGGATTCACCAATATCCGTGCCTTTAGTGAATTGGTTGTTTCTGGCCTCTTGTGGCTTGACAGTGAGTTTATTAGTATTAAAATTGAGGCTGAATCTATGTTATAAAATTGTTCAGTTTCATTTAGCAAATCCGGTATAGGATTTTTCTGCAGCAGTGTTTTTCTCTATAGTGGCAGGGGAGTGCATATGTGTTGGAGTTTGCAGGTCGAAGTCTGCTAGTTTATGCAGATTCTTTCTCATTCCACATTCTTGGGTAAATTTCTTGCATTGTCAATTTTATCGTAGGTCTGCAGTGGTTTGCATTGGTTGGTTTTGCCTTCAGCAGGGGTGTGGTTCCTTCTCTTTGCAGACTGTCTCTGGTTGTCTATGCGCATGTTGGTTTGTTGTGTATGCTTATTTTTTGGTTTTTGTCTTCTATGCTAGTACAATGGTGTGTGTAAGATTTTCATTTTGAAACTATTAGCAGTTTGGAGTGGATGATGCTAAATCTGAATAATTGTTCAGCAGTTTCAAAACAGAGAAATTGACAAACGAAATTAAAACTTTGATATATACATTCCAAAAGACATCACCTTCCGTCGATCATGGTCAGCCCACACGTTCCGTCGATCATGGTCAGCCCACACGACCAAAGCAAATGACCAAAGCAAACCTTCACCTTCCGTCGATCATGGTCAGCCCACACGTTGACGATAACGTCCATGAATCTGCTTTCATCACCTTCACCAACGACGACGACCACGAGCCCAATGTGGTTGTCCCCGTCGAGGAGGATGATCCTAGGGACGGGCGCACCACATCTCCCTCCCCCGACGATGCAGCCTACAACGCCGCCCAATGTTTCGACAGTCTAACTGTTTTCCAACCAATTCCTGTGTCGCCCAACACTGACCTGACCCTGGTGGCCTTGTTCGCGGCGATTAACCAAACGAACCTGATCATTTTCCAGTAGAATGAGCAGTTCGGGATGTTGGAGAAAGAACGACAATCACACTCTCTCCCCAGGAGACATCCGCGGTTGATTTCTCGTTGCCCGTCCCTGCGACGACGAGAGAACCGTCCTCCCTCTCCCCCACAGAGACTCCAACAGAATGATTCCCAGAGCCTCTCCCCGTGGAAACCTGGACACCGTCCGCGACTAGAAAGGCCTCAGCCCATGGCTACCCAAAAGCGTGACCGCACTACTGCCCAGAAAGAGCCACGCTCCCCGGATCCTAAGAGAAGCAAAGCTTGCGGCCAGACGGAGAAACTGAAGAGTTGACTAAGGAATTCGCTGCACCGCGGGAGGAGCCCTCGGTACGACCCTTCCCTATCGCAATCATCAATCCGTTGCGACGAACACGACCCCCACGGTCCACTGTCCAAAGCCATCATGGGAACCCGCCTTCCTGTCGGGATGGAGAAACCCCCGAGTTTGGAAACCTACGATGGCATGACTGACCCCAACGACCATATTGAGAGCATAGATGCGATGCTTAGTTAACGCAACGTCCAGGGAGCCATAAAGTGCCGACTCTTTTCCACGAACCTGAGGAAAGGCGCGACGGCGTGGTACAAGAGCCTCGAATCTGAATCCATCACCTCCTGGAAGGAGCTGAAGACACAGCTTTCCAGGCACTTCACCGCCTCTCGGCGACATCCAATGTCAGAGGCATCCGTGGATGCCATTATTCAGGGAAAGGACGAATCTCTCAAAGATTACATAGAGAGATTCAATCGAGAGGTTGACCAAGTATCCACTACGGATGGAATAAAGAGATACTTGATTGAGCGAGGACTACGATCCCGCAGCGATTTTGCCAAGGCAGTTGGTATCGGAACACCCTGAACGCTGGCCAAACTTCTCCTCAAGGCCAAGCCTACATCCAATACGAGGAGAAGGACTGCTAACAACACCTGTGACTCACAGAACCAAGAGACTGCCAAAGTCTCCAGGCAAGAAGACTTCGTAGCTCCCCGACGAGGCGGGGAGAAAAGAAGAGAAGATAGGCCATGCGACTCCCGAGAACGCAGGGGGCCAATAGACCACTTCATTGAGTGCATGCTACTCACCCCGAGCGTATTCTGGCCGAATGCATCAACTCAGAATTCAAGAGAGGCGAGGTCCACTTTTCAAAGCTGACACTCGCCAAGCCCAACGTCGACAAGTCCAAGTACTTCCGGTTCCACAGGAGCCACAGACACGTCACAGAAGATTGCATCCATCTCAAGGATGCAACCGAAATCCTGATCAATGAAGGGCATCTAAAGCAGTACACTAGAAGGAACGAAGCTCCTCGTCAGGAAGCCAGCGAGGCGAAGAAGGTCGAGGAGGTGACGCCATCCTCCGACAACTCCGGATTGCAAGTCGCCTTGTGCGTCTCCCGGCCGGAAGACTTCTACCTCCCCTACGAGGCCGACACACCTTTGTCCAATCATAGCGCGTGGGAGAACTTCCCCTCTACCATGGTCATATCCGGCGGAGGGTTCAACAAGCTCTCTGTAGGGTCATTAAAGAGGAAGTTTGACGAGCTAATTGACACAAGCTCGAAGCAGAATGGAGCCCTCGACAGGTTCGAGGGAAAATCAAACCCGACCACCTTCTACCTTGAGGAGCTACCGGGTGGTGCCCCTAATTCCAACATTCCTCTGTTGATCAGAGCCAAAATGGCAAACTTCGACGTCCGTCGCATCCTCCTCGATCAGGGGAGCTCGGTCGACATAATGTATACTCACCTGTTCACCACTTTCTAGCTCGACGAGAAGCATATGACTCCATGCGTTGGCTTCGACTTTCAAGGATTCAAAGGCACCACAAGGCCATGGGGCTATGTTGAGCTGCTCGTCACTTTCGGGTCTGAGGAGACTATCAGGCAGGTTAAAGTCTGCTTTATGGTAATAGAGTGCCCATCACTATACTAGTGCTTTCTAGGAAGACCAACCCTAGCTTGGAGCCTTTGTCCGACTCTTGCTCAAGGCTTAGTTTAGGACACCTTGCACATACACAACTTCCTCTTGGGCTACCATACAATAAACCATTTTTATTTCGTACAATCTCGTGTAACTTACATGTACCCCACTCCCATTTCGATGTACGCATTCAAATTTGCTTTGATAGTGGTTTGTTTACAAGGAGCACCCCTAGGGACTAGCATAAACTAAACCGTTTTCAAACTAATTCTCGATTCATCATCGAGTCATTTTTAAACACCCTTCGTAAGTCGATTGCTCGTAAGCATTCGCCATCAACCTATCGCACACACTCGCACATTTGATTGTGGTTTTGTTATTAGGAGCACCCAAATACTATTATCGATTCTCACCTCTTTTCAACCAAACTCTCCACTCGTCGTCAAGCCATTTTCAAATCAAATTCTTTCAACCAACTTCTTTGCACGCTAATACAATCAAACCCTTGATCCAACGTCAAGTGGTATTTTATTCAAACTCGTAAGACGAGCGTTTTTTGCCTCGCCATCAACCTCTTTTTGCAACCAATATGTTTCTATCATTTTCAAAACGCTTTCTTAAACAAATAACGAAAGAAGAAGATTCTTGGAGTCTATCATTTCTTGAATCTTCGAATGAATGGCTCTTAAGGCACACACTTTAGGTTGTCGTTCACTCAACCTTTCGTCTCAAAACACATAATCTTTATCTAAAGATTTTCTTAATCAACTTACAAAAGGAGGATTCTTGGAATATAGAATTCCTTGGATCTTCGAATGAATGGCTCTTGAGGTACATCCCTTGAGTTGTTGTTCATTCAATCTTTCGACTCCAAAATGTTCAACTGTTCGCCAAACTTTTTCAATCAACTCCCGAAAGGACTGAGTTCTTGGAATCTTGCATTCCTTGGATTCTTGAGTGACAGCTCTCGAGGCACGCCCCTTGGGTTGTTTATCAGTCAATCTTTTGTTTTCAAACCAAAATTCAACAATTCACCCCTCTTTTTGTGGTCGTCTCCACGAACTATGGATGCTCTCATTCTTCATTCTCGTTTGAATGTAAGATACCATTATTTATTAAATTATTATTATCATTAATAATTATATTATTAATATTAAAGTCCAAAGTTATTAACTAATCTCCATACTTAAGAGCACCCTCCCTTCACTCAAACACACCCCCATAAAACACACCGAAAATAAAATAAAAAAGACTAGATAATTAAAATGGGTGTTATAACTCTCCCTCACTTTAATTATTTTCGTCCTCGAAAATTACTTGATGAAAACAATTCCGGATACGCATCCCGCATCCTGCTTTCCAACTCCCAGGTCACACTGCCTCCTGCAGCACCTCCCCAAGCCACTTTCACCAATGATATATCTTTCCCTCTTAGTTGTTTCCTCTTACGATCTTCGATTCTCAACGACATCGTTTCAACGGTAAGATTCTCCCAGACTTGCACTTCATCTCTCTGAATAACATGAGATGGGTCTGTGACATACTTCTGATGTTGTGACACATGAAACATGTCATGCAAATTTGAAAGTTGAGGCGGCAACGCCATCCTATAAGCTACAACACCAATTCTTTACAATATTTAAACCATTTTTATTTAACACCCAAATTCCCCTAGATTGATCACGTGCATCCACGTAATGAGCATTTACATATCTAACTCTATCCCGGAAATATTTGGTCTTA